GGACGCGGGGCTGCCCTTCGCCCAGCGGCAGAGCCGGCCGCTGAACCCCCTCCCAGGGCGAGATGGGGAAAGGGAGCAGCGCCGAGCACATCGCGAGCCAGCCTGCGATGCGGCGCTGGGAGAGAGCTCCAAGGCAGCTGGAGTTTTCAGAAAGCAGCAGAAATAGAAAAGCTGACAAAAGCCACTCGCCAATTGTAGAAATGAAAGTGAAAAGAGAGTCGGGCAGTGCTGGTAAAAACAAAACCCCTCCAAGACAGCCAAAAGAACAGAAGAGTCAATAAACTGCAGCTGGGGGAGGTAAAGAGGAGACACACCTCTCCGAGCCACCCCAGAAACCTTAACAGCATCACTAGTAACTGTGGTTTTAAGCGTGACTTGCTTTATCGCCGAACTAAGGACTGGTGTTCACTCTAGCGCTGCATCCTTTTAGCGAGGAACTGCATGATTCATTAGGAAGAAATTTGATAGAAATGAAAAAAAATTTTCAAGACTTATCACGCATAGACAGACAACCAGACAATAATGATTTGTCTTCAGCCTGTATTTTATACTTTCTATTTCAGAAGTCAGATCTTGCTCTTTGTTTTCCATTCATTGCAACAGAAACAGTAGAACAAATAAATCTTAAAAAAAAAAAAATAAATAATCACAGTTCGGTGGTCCAGCGAGACTTCTGTATGCTGACTCCTGTTAAAATCCTCTAGCCTGTTCAAACATAGCAGCCTGAGGTTGCTCTTTCAGTTCCTTTCCTCAGTCTGTGGCATTCATGCATCTTTTTAATGTCTTTCCCCTTATGCACCAGAAATATTATCCATTCACGCCAAGAAGGGGATTCTTGACTCTAAAAAAATGAGGAAAATTCCTCATTATTGAAAAGACTGAAATATCTTCCCACATCCCAAGTTAATATAGTTATACAGAAGCAACTTAGCAGTTTCACTCTGAGACTCTTGCAAGAATCAAATTTAGCTTTACATTTCACACATCACAACAGCTTTTTGTTTCTCTACTCAGGTATTTGCTTTGTTTATTGAATAATATGGTTTATGAACTGCTACCCAATAGGTCTTTTCAGAGAGAAACACAAATGAGACCAACAAATGGTTTCAGCATCTAAAGCAAAGCTGTAATCAGAGATGATGAAGAGTTTCACAGACCGACTACCCAGAAAGTTGTCCCCCGCTGAGCACAAGGCCTACAGTCACTCTGCTAACACACAGCACACACTGACCAAGCATCAACCAGGCAACAGCATTTTTAAAACAAAAACATGAAATTTGGAATCCAGTTAGCATTAGCCTCATTCATATACTCAAGATCACCGTTTTATGACAGTGTTTAAAACGTGAACTTCCCTAATTAGGCCAGGAAAGACTTCTTGAATTGACTACTTGAATGCATCTGTCTACGTGGAAGCGATACCACCTACTCTCTTCACTGTTAGAAGAGCACTTTGAGGAGTCAACCTGTTTGCTCCTCTCACAGGAGAAGAATTAGATTTTAGCATAGATGTGTTTAGTTTAGCTTGAGTCTAACAATGTTTCCCACAATTTGGTAATGTGGGCTTCTTGTATATTTCTAACGATAATAAAAGCAGCTGTACTACTACAGATGAATATGCAAAAGAATGGTTTTCAACAACACTTTATTGAAGCACTTCAAAAATGATCACAATGATAGATGTTGCCTTTAACAGAATAAAACCTGTAATGTCATAATTAAAAGGCACTAATCCTGGCACAAAGGTCTACTTACCCACCTTCCACTGTGACGGAAATAAAAACATCAAATATTTTACTTCTCCTTTAGAAGAGTATGTGCACACCCCCTTTGAGTGCCATTCCGTGTTTGTCATTTAAGTGACATGTAAAAGAAATTCCCTGATGTTTCACCAAGGCATACTTTAACGTTCAGCATCTGTAGTCCTAAAACAATAGGCTACTCATTGAAGGTTTATGATTTAGTGAGACAAGTCATTCTACACTCATCTTTTGGGAATAAAAGTCCTGAAGCACATACTAGTCTCAGGCATTCACGCATTACTTCTTTAACATGATTCGTTGCTTTGCTGTTCGTGTTATCGGCAATGCACCGCTCTTAGCAAGACAGCTTAAATAACCTGATTTACACCCCCCTATTTAGAATTCACACAGCTCGCTCTGGTCAGGGTCAGTGCAGAAGCAAGCCAGCAGGGAGCAGTGCTGGGGCACGCGACCGGGAGGAAGCACATTTCTTTCACATCCAGTAAACACGCACAAAGCAAATCATGACATGCCATTGCACAGCCACAGTAACTACAAAATTAAACCTTAGAAAAGTTAAAAGCTTGATAATCCAGCTAAGTCATACTTCAAGTTATTATAGATCCCTGCACAACATTCCTATAACCGTATAACCAGAGAGACTGTTTAAGGCATTTTCTCTGGCCTCCTTTCTTCTACCAGAAAGTGAAGATTATGCAGCTTTATATGTCAGCATCCAAAAAGGACCGTCTTTCCAACCTGTTTCCATAAAGATGCAAAGAGAAGACGCAAATCGATAAGAAACTAGATTATTAGTTCCACAGACCATGAAACAGCTCCACATTTGTGCATTTTTCACATTGCCAAGTGGTAGGACCCAATTGCTCTGTGCAAGTGCTGAAGACACTCAGCTGCACTCAGGGTGACGATGAGAATTATGCTGCTCTGTAATTGCACTTAAAGAAACCACCATCCACACTAACGTTGATAGGACATTAATACTCCAAGGAAAGCTTTCACACAGCCCGGTGCTGTGGGTGCACGCACAAACATTTCTTCCTAGTCTAATCTAGAGACGCGCTGCTCTATGATCAGTAAGAGCGATCACTCTTACTGAACAAAACCGACAACAAGTATTTAGAGTTGACAGCTATTTTAAATCATCGGGACACCACACAATACCAACACATCATGAGGTCATAAAGGTATGACCGGTGTCTAACTTGCATGCATATTCATGACCAAGAGTTCTCTCTGGCTCAGTATTTGCCTTTTCACAAGACCCAGTTTTCTTAATATGCTAACGGTCAAGGCCTACTGCAGGTACATCAGAAGAGAGTTTCAGGACTCTCTTGATGTTTACAGTACAGCTGTTGATGTTTAAGTACAATAATTCTTGTTACTAAAAAAGCAACTTTTGTTAAGAGAATGGGAAATTTCATCAGTCTCTTTTTACTGTCCAGGCTCGCTACAGAGCCTGAGACAAGCAATCATCATGAGAGATTAGATTGCCCCAATAGATTTCTAGAAGCAGAACACAGCTATAGCATCCAAGTTCAGCAGACAACACTGATAATGCCTATCTTACCTCCACACCTTTATTAGAACGGAAAAAGTTTAACCTTGGACTTAACTGTGCCAGATGAGTGAGTAGTTTTTTCAGTCCAAGGCTGAAAGGTGGCAAGAACAGCCTCACTTCTCTGGAAAAACTTACTACACTTCCCTTCTGTTTCAAAATGAAGGTAGTTGGAAAGTTAATCAAGCCCTCAAACAGAAAAAGTGTAATCCTCTGCACTGGATTCAAATAGTCTCTTCAAGGTCTATATTTCTGCCATGTGAGTAAAGGCATCTGGGAGAACTGCACAAGAATAGCTGTGAAAACCTGTGGAGTCATTCTTCAAGGTCTACATTTCTGCCATGTGAGTAACTAAAGGCATCTGGGAGAACTGCACAAGAATAGCTGTGAAAACCTAGGTGGAGTCATTTCGTGAAGTAATACAAATGTACTTTTTAGAGTACGCACATCATAGGCGGCCAGTGTAGCTTTCCTTGCTATTTACATTCAGAAGTAGAAACTATTACTTAAATACCACATCAAGCAAACAGCTGTTGGCCAACTTCACACCACAGCTGATTTAAGTGATCAGTACTGGTATCAGACCAACCAGGGTGACAAATCTTACAGCAGTAATACTCTTCTCAGATTTTGCAACTCGAGGCATTTTGCTTTGAATGTTAACTCCAGGTAGCTTGTTTGGCATGCAGGAAATCCCATCAACTGAAGAAATATGCACATAATCTTTTACTCAACAGTTCATTAGTCCTTCCCACCAGCTGAGTTACACATGAAGGATGCTAACCGACCAGTAGCCAGGCCTAAAAACCAACCTGTTACAGCTCTAAGTTTGAAAGCTTACACAGAGGCAGGCTGTGAATAGAAGACATCCAATTTGTTACCATTACTTGGAAGATGTTGACATACGGTCCTGTAAGTTAATCAGCGACCCAAGAGAAATTAACGCCACAAAGCATTTGGGAAGAACAGTGGGTGTAACTTCAGATTAAAATCACAACAAAGACTTTGTTCAAGACCTCAGTCAACGAAAGCCTCACTTTCCAATGAGACAAGAATCTTTATGCTTTAATTGGTAGTGAATGATCAGGCACTGCTAGATCTGACACTTCTGCTAGAAAAGCAAAGGTTTTACTCTAGGCTTGATGACAAGAAACAAGCTTGTAGACACATGCATTTTTCTTCTGAAAACAGAGCTCCAGAAGGCTGACCCTACTTAAGACCCTTCAGCTGACCAGTGCTTTTCATAAACGTAAAAAAGCACTGAAGTCTGCTGAGACTGACTAGCTAAACTTGCTCACGTAAGCTGAGAAAGCCCCAGGCCTGAAAGGGAGTTTTATAAGCGTTTCACTTGAATAGTTGAACCACAGAACATAAAGAAGCTCAGGTATTTACCGAGCCTTCTTCCCCAGCTGTAATCTTGTGGGAGAGGAGACAGACATCCCATAATGTATTTCCATGAGTTAAGCCATATCAACTCAAGTCAGTCAGTTAAGTGTCAATACAACCCTCAAAACATAAGTTTATTGAATAAAGCTGAAGAGCAGTAAACCAACATATGCATCCACCTAAATAAAAAAATTCACGTATTTACAAAGTTCAGTAATTGTATAAGTTGTTCACATGCAGAGAGTAATGCACAGGTTAACAATCGGTAGTGTTTGGATGCCATAAACGCTGAAAGCAGTGAAGTATATAAACACCAAACACATCAACTTTAGCTATAGGCCAGTTAACTAAACAGTGACCTGGTCCCCCACAAAGATTCACACATTCTAGTTTAGTTTCCTTATTTTAGGCACAAGCAAGTTTGCTAAAGAAAAGTAACTGTAGCAGTTCCTGGTGAACTAGGGACTACAGTAGCAAGTTAATATACCCTCTCCTCTACAGCACCAGAGTATGGATTAATTGAAATCATGCTTCAGAGAACTGAAAGGGGACAAAAAGTTAAAATGCAAGTTCAGACTGAATGCAGGCAGCACGTAGTGTCTGTGCAACAGTGCAATAGTTGGTACAGAACAGTAAGGCCATGGCAGTCTAAATTAAAACTGGCTTGTCGTAACTGATACGGACTAAACAGTTTTTCCAACCAAAGACTCCGACATAATGCAAACTACATTTAGGTGAAGAATCACACACAGTGTGAGGCAACACAAGCAGGTGTACCATGTATTTGCATACACTAGTAAGCTACACTGACATTACTGTATGAACAAACCAGTCTCAACAAGTCTGTCCCTTTAAATATACTGAAGTCATTGAGAAAGTAAAGCTACAAAAACATTACAATCTTTAGTTCATATATACTTCCCTATACTGTAGGAGCTAGTCAAGAAACAGGATCAATCTGTTGGCTCTCTTGTGCTTTGACACAGTAGAACATTTCATCTCGCAACTTACAGACTTTGCACATGGTTACATCAAGAAAGCAGGCAGGTCTAGAGTTGTCACAATAGCCTAGATATTCCATAGCACCAGGTGAAACTGTGCCCAGCCATTTCATGAGCAGGAGAGACACTACACAATTACATAGATATTGTGCTAAAGGTCAACGACTGACTCTATACGAAAACATCAGTAATTTAAGTGTCATGCAGCTGCTCAGAATGTGTGTTCTGGTTTCAGATAGAGACCACTAGTATCTGTAGATAGAAAGATGTATTTGAACAAAGTCTGATGTTCCTAGCAATTTGTTTTCATGCTGGAATACTCCAATTTTTGAAAGCTTGACAGAACAGTCCATTCCCATCCCCCACACAAATGTTAAACAGAAGCAACAAAATGATTTTAAACAGTTGACTCTCTCCTAATTCATCATGAGAGTTTTCTTTTTCAAGTGACAGGATAAGATCTCAGCTGTAGATTAGTGATGCTGATCTATGCCTTGTGCTCCCCTCTGCAAACAGTTTCCATTTCTCTGCTTACATACACACATCACATGCATTTGTGAGATAAATCAGTATCCCACAACTCACGCTTAAATGTTTTCTAACTACGGTATGTGGCATCTTACAGAATCTTAATGCTGTCAAGCATCAGCATCTTCAAGCCACTAAACACTAGAAATAAAACACTTGCTGAAAATCATATAAAAACCTGGCCCTGAAAAACCAGAACAGAGTGTACCATCATAGTTAACATGGTAGAGAGATTTTTTTTTTTTTAAAAAGACCCCCCACAACCCTCCCACCACAGATGGTTGTAAAATAAATATTTGTGCTGACTTTATCATGACAACTCTAGTTGTTTTGTGACAGAATAGGAATACAAGTCTTCAGCAGTGCACATGAGAAATGAACCATGAAAAGGCAGATTCTTGATACAGGATTTTTGGATAATATCTCATTATGGAGGGAAGTGGACAACTGAGATTATGGCCAACTGGTACTGGAGATTCCAGGAAGACTTCAGCTTCTTCTAGATTTTGAATGCTGAATAAGCCACTGAAGCGTGATATCTGAAGAGAGAGAGAAGAGAAGTTCCATATTCAAGTGTCTATCTGTATTTGTATAGCTGGCATCGCTTTGGTATGCCAGTGTCCCCAAATACACAACAGGAATATCCAGCCCTTCTCTAGAGGATGGTCCAAGATGGATCAATAGAATGATTATTTGGAACGCTTGCTGTCTGTGCTTTGGTCCTGTAACTGCCCAGCATCCTTTAAGTAACATTTAAAGGAACTGCCCCAGACATCCTGGTTCCTCAGTCAGCTACACCTCTAGGAAAAAGACATTCCTTAATCTGATACTTTGGTATGGCTCACATAATTAGTTTTAGATCAACACTGCTCTATTTAGCCAGTCTGCCCCTCCTCACTTGATGAGAACAAAGTTAGTTGAGCCCTACAGCACAAGGCATCAAGCTCCTCCATGCTTGAAAGAGGGTCTCCTAAGGAAGTGAAATGCACTAACATCATACCAGCCCAATGCTTCCAGCAGCACCTTCCCTATCGCATCAGTGATGCTCAGCTGTGCTGTGAGCCTTGTACAGGAGATATGACAGAAGGGAGTATCTGCTTCTCCTATCCACCATATTTGAATCTTTAACTGATGGTAAGGTGACAGGGGCTTCTTGGATAAGAAGCCAGAAGAGTTCCACAGGCTGTTCATTTTTCCCGGAAAGAAGTTGAGTCCTTAATATAAAGCAGTTCTGGTATCCTCTATAGCTTGTTCCTGTGACCACCAGCCTGAAGTTTCCCTCATCAGTAAACTCAATGAACCAGTGTTAACCTCATGGCAGCCACAAGAAGGCATCAGGAGAAGGATGGCAAGTGTTGTTAAGTACTGTGTTTTCATTCAGTTGAGATTACTCAGTTTACTTACAATACTAGTGTCAAGTACTTGGTATTACACAGTATCATGGTTTCTGCGTTTGAACTCCAGAAATTCTAAAGCAATTGATGTCAGCACCAGAAAAATTTACTGTTTGGCTGCACGGAGTAGTGACTAGCATAGGCCACAACACGAACCACTTTGATAAGACAGCAAGGGAAGATGATTATTTCAAGGGAATGACTGTTGAGGAAAAACTTGCTGCAAGTACTTGCTAGCCTCATGAAAGTGAGGCAGAGTTGAGAGTACCGGAGAGAAGTATAAAATCATTTAGGCCAAGCTAATAGTGAGGCTAGTCAGCTATTTGCTGCAAACTAACTAAAGAAAGGCAGCAGATTTCACAGCAGACTGACATATGTTTTGATAACTACAACCAGTCAAGTTTCCTCACTGCCATCAGGAGTTATACGGAACTTAACCAGTGCACTTACACATTGTTCTTTGATTTGTTACAGGCTTCCTGACTTCAGGAAACTGGTGTTTAAGAAGTTACAATCCCCCAATCCATCCTCTGACAGCTCTTCATAATGCTTAGCATTTTAGGTTAATAGTTACCTATATTATCTTTCTCTTTGCAAGAAATTGAGTAGCAGCAGATTTCTCTGTCCTGAATAGCAGCAAGGTTCCTATGAAAGAGAGAACATTTCAACATACACTTCACTTACAACAAGGACACATACTGAGAATCTAAACTGTTCCCCCTTCATCTCCTCCACCTAACTTGTTTCTACACAATGTTTCAGCTACCTCCTGTTGCTGGGTTTTCTACTTACACATGCAAGCTTCTTGATCTAACAACCCTATGTACATGAATTCATTTATTGAGTTAAAGTATCCTTTCTTAGGAAGGGTTAGACTTACATCTTTTCAATTAGCTGTTTCTCATCCAAAGCATTAGGAAGGTCTCTCTTATTTCCAAGTACTAGAACCTGAAATCCAGAGTAGAAGGAAACGGTTGCAGCTTTGTTTTTTTTTTTAAAAAAAAACAAAAAAAACCACCAACCCCACCACAAACAACAAACTTCAGGGGAGTCTGACAAGCAGTCTGCACTAGGCTATTAAATCCAGCGGGATGAGACATTCACTATTAAACCAGATCAAGAAGGAAGATTGACCTAGTCACAGGGAAAGACGGGGTACAAATAAACTGTTATGTGCAAAAAACAAGCACGAGAACACATCAGCTGATAAAACTGAGAATAATCCCAGTAGACTTTCAGCTGAGATTCCCCAAACTTACTCTATACTTCTGTACTACACTCTGGTTAACCTGTACTATAGTAGACTCCAGAAGAGAGCACAAACTCATACTGTGGAATACTCTACTCTAAATTACTGTTCCAATTTTTTTTTGTTTTTTTTTTGTGGGCACCGAACAAGAATAAGATCACTGAAGGATTGACCGAGGTCAACAATTTGATTTAAGGCACTGGGGGTAGGGCAGGTATTGTTCATGCTTATACTAACCAGTGAGGTTAGGCCTTAGACTTGACTTAAGAGTTCAAGCCAGACTTGAACTCTGAGTTGAAGTCAGAGTTGCTGAAGTTATGCACATTCCTCAAGCAAATTTAATACCGTGTAAGGCAATATTACTTACAGGGATTCCTTGTAACTGTGGCTTATCTAGAAGGTTGTGCAGCTCATTTCGAGAGGCTTCTATTTTTTCACGATCTGCAGCATCTACCATGTAGCTTTAAAGAGAATTTAAGGTTAGGTCAGTGAGACTGAACTACTTCAGAAACAGCAGTGTTTGCTTTACACTGTCAGTTTTGAGCACATTCAACAAGGCTTTAAACAAAGCTAGGTCTTCTGAGCAAAGAATTTGGTTCTTGTAAAAAGAATTCTCTATGATCAGAGTAGATGAAAGATTCTTTCAGTTAGACAGCACTGCCACCCAGTTCAGACAGGAAGTAGTTAGTACTCCAGATCAGACACCGATAAGAAAATAACCCACCTTGAGCCTTGAACTTAAGGGTAAAAAAAGGTCAGTAAGGTTGCAGTACAGTTTCAAAATTAAAACGAGTACTACCGAGTCAAGCATGCACTGTTAGAAAGGCTACACACAGAAGAGAAGCAAACCTGAAGTTAAGTACTAGCTGAAGGAAGATGACACTTACACAATAGCATTAACTCCTCTGCAATATCGTTCCCACATGCTTCGGAATCGTGGTTGCCCTCCTATATCCCAAATCTTAAGGCAAGGGGAAAAAGACAATTTAGCCACACACTATGCTTAAACACGTTGCGCAAAGACAAGAAATCAAAACACAGTTTTTCCTTTCTCCTCGGGCCAGCTGCAGGACCTCTCACATATTAGAACAGGAATAATCCCTTGTACAGCTGCTCAAAGCTTGCAGGCCCAATAGCATAAGATGCAAACTAGAGCATCTTACACCAGATGCAAGAACACACCCGTGTACTAAGTTTACACACTGTGGTATACAAGAAAACAAAATAAGATATATTGACTTAAAACTTTGCTTTTGATGTAAGCCTTCCCTTAAGCAATATTGATGAGCAGAAGAGGAAGATCTCTGGGCCCTACACATGTGAAAATTAACTCAGACTAAAGCCAGACAGCATTATCACAACATTGCTTTAACTAGCCCATGAACCTGGAAATCACACACAGATTCTCATTTAAGAAACCCCATAAATAAACATAAGTGTATCCTTAAGCTATTTGACAGATTTAGCTGAGCCTCTTCAGTTTCCTATATTTGTCCCAATGGTGGAAGAAAAACAGAGCAAACATATAACTTTTAAACTAGAAGCTGAAGACAACCTTGCACAGGTTTAAAAAGAGACAGTCAACAATGGTAACATACCTTTATTGTAACATTACCCTTTGTAACTTTTCTCATGTTGAAGCCCACAGTAGGAATCATATCTTCACTGAATTGACCTGACTGGAAAAAAACAGAAAGTTAAATTTAGTGCTTATCTGATGCAGCTAGTTTACATAGTAAAATATCATAAGCTTTTTCTAACCGTTTGCCTTCCAACCGAAGGCTTTATAGCCAAGAAGTCGTAGATATTATATTCCTGTGTATTGAAGCTTGTGTGAAGTCAGTCAAGTCATTTCTTACAAGCACTTAAATCATTTTTCAAGCCTTTTGTTTTTTTTTTTTTAAAAAAAACAAAAAAAACCACCAACCCCACCACAAACAACAAACTTCAGGGGAGTCTGACAAGCAGTCTGCACTAGGCTATTAAATCCAGCGGGATGAGACATTCACTATTAAACCAGATCAAGAAGGAAGATTGACCTAGTCACAGGGAAAGACGGGGTACAAATAAACTGTTATGTGCAAAAAACAAGCACGAGAACACATCAGCTGATAAAACTGAGAATAATCCCAGTAGACTTTCAGCTGAGATTCCCCAAACTTACTCTATACTTCTGTACTACACTCTGGTTAACCTGTACTATAGTAGACTCCAGAAGAGAGCACAAACTCATACTGTGGAATACTCTACTCTAAATTACTGTTCCAATTTTTTTTTTGTTTTTTTTGTGGGCACCGAACAAGAATAAGATCACTGAAGGATTGACCGAGGTCAACAATTTGATTTAAGGCACTGGGGGTAGGGCAGGTATTGTTCATGCTTATACTAACCAGTGAGGTTAGGCCTTAGACTTGACTTAAGAGTTCAAGCCAGACTTCAGAGTTGCTGAAGTTATGCACATTCCTCAAGCAAATTTAATACCGTGTAAGGCAATATTACTTACAGGGATTCCTTGTAACTGTGGCTTATCTAGAAGGTTGTGCAGCTCATTTCGAGAGGCTTCTATTTTTTCACGATCTGCAGCATCTACCATGTAGCTTTAAAGAGAATTTAAGGTTAGGTCAGTGAGACTGAACTACTTCAGAAACAGCAGTGTTTGCTTTACACTGTCAGTTTTGAGCACATTCAACAAGGCTTTAAACAAAGCTAGGTCTTCTGAGCAAAGAATTTGGTTCTTGTAAAAAGAATTCTCTATGATCAGAGTAGATGAAAGATTCTTTCAGTTAGACAGCACTGCCACCCAGTTCAGACAGGAAGTAGTTAGTACTCCAGATCAGACACCGATAAGAAAATAACCCACCTTGAGCCTTGAACTTAAGGGTAAAAAAAGGTCAGTAAGGTTGCAGTACAGTTTCAAAATTAAAACGAGTACTACCGAGTCAAGCATGCACTGTTAGAAAGGCTACACACAGAAGAGAAGCAAACCTGAAGTTAAGTACTAGCTGAAGGAAGATGACACTTACACAATAGCATTAACTCCTCTGCAATATCGTTCCCACATGCTTCGGAATCGTGGTTGCCCTCCTATATCCCAAATCTTAAGGCAAGGGGAAAAAGACAATTTAGCCACACACTATGCTTAAACACGTCGCACAAAGACAAGAAATCAAAACACAGTTTTTCCTTTCTCCTCGGGCCAGCTGCAGGACCTCTCACATATTAGAACAGGAATAATCCCTTGTACAGCTGCTCAAAGCTTGCAGGCCCAATAGCATAAGATGCAAACTAGAGCATCTTACACCAGATGCAAGAACACACCCGTGTACTAAGTTTACACACTGTGGTATACAAGAAAACAAAATAAGATATATTGACTTAAAACTTTGCTTTTGATGTAAGCCTTCCCTTAAGCAATATTGATGAGCAGAAGAGGAAGATCTCTGGGCCCTACACATGTGAAAATTAACTCAGACTAAAGCCAGACAGCATTATCACAACATTGCTTTAACTAGCCCATGAACCTGGAAATCACACACAGATTCTCATTTAAGAAACCCCATAAATAAACATAAGTGTATCCTTAAGCTATTTGACAGATTTAGCTGAGCCTCTTCAGTTTCCTATATTTGTCCCAATGGTGGAAGAAAAACAGAGCAAACATATAACTTTTAAACTAGAAGCTGAAGACAACCTTGCACAGGTTTAAAAAGAGACAGTCAACAATGGTAACATACCTTTATTGTAACATTACCCTTTGTAACTTTTCTCATGTTGAAGCCCACAGTAGGAATCATATCTTCACTGAATTGACCTGACTGGAAAAAAACAGAAAGTTAAATTTAGTGCTTATCTGATGCAGCTAGTTTACATAGTAAAATATCATAAGCTTTTTCTAACCGTTTGCCTTCCAACCGAAGGCTTTATAGCCAAGAAGTCGTAGATATTATATTCCTGTGTATTGAAGCTTGTGTGAAGTCAGTCAAGTCATTTCTTACAAGCACTTAAATCATTTTTCAAGCCTTGAGGCAGTCAGGGGAGCAAAGTTACTTGGGGAGAAGTGCTTTGCATAGCTTAACAGATGGACAGCCAGGGCAAGTAAAGGAAAAGAGCCATTCACCTACTTCTGCTGGAGCCAAGTTCTGTACATCAGGATCTCCTAGCTACCTGGAAGCTAGAAATATCCAGAAGATTTTCCTCTGAGGCAAGCTACTCTATGGACAACATTTACAGTAATAAATCACTTCTGTGGAGTAAGCCTCCAACCCACAGGTATGGGTTAACTCCCTGAGGAGTTTTAAAAGGCTGGAAAGCGGAAGGACCTGACAGGTCTGCTTCCTGCTAGGCTACGCAGCGTCCAACTTGTTCAGCAGTGGAAGAGGCAATCGAAACGCAACTGGAGAGTATTTCAGTCCATTTCCACCAGAAGTTCAGCATCGCTCTAAGCTCTGGCATAACTGCTGCAAAACAGTGTTGTATTAGAGAGGTTCTCTAGTGGCAGATGTTTTACTATCTGTTACACTTTTATCTGTAACAGCTTGAAAGTCAAGTTCACAGCTATCTCCTGTAGCTAACCCAGGAGCCATAACAAGTGTTATCAACAGTAGTACAGATTTCTCCCATGCTCCCTCGGCTATTTGGCAGAAGGTGAATCTCAGCCACAGTGGTCATTATGTATCTCACTACATCCATTATGTGCAATAGAACCAGACAAGTCAACCAGATTTGGAAAAAAGGTCAACTCAAATGCATTCAGTTGTTTAATTAGGGTTCGATACCATAGCAGCAGAAAGTCTGCTTCTCTCCCCTGATGTTGCACAGAGAAGCTAGCCCGAGTTAAAAGTTCTTTAGGATCTATGAAGCAGATGTCACATCACCCTATAGAGTTAGGGCCCAACTGCTCACAAGCTGCAAGTAGTAACTAAGTCTGACCGGACATGCTTGGAGTACATGCTGTTCAGAGCTTGCAACCAGAAGATGGTCAGCTTGTAATACCAATGCTTTGTCATTCACTTCTATGCCTAGAAGCCCACTTTCTTCAGCTTGTTCCCCCCGCCTCACCGCCCAAAAAAACCTGTGATCTTCCACTAGCAAACCAAAGCTGCAGGCTTCACGTAATACAGACTCCAGTATAACGCTGATAAACTTTAGAAGTCAACTGAAAGCATACAGATGATAGCAGTCTCATTTGGGCTTATTTGGCCAAGTCCTTCAGTTAAATGGCATGTTGATCTTGCTGTTGACCTCCAAAACAGAAATACATCCAGAGCTTGGATTTGAAGCCAGCAGTCCCCTGAACAGGTGGTGATGTTTCACATTCAAGATCTGCCTTCCAGATGCATGGCTATACAGACTAACAGTCTTTTAAAAGGAGTAAAAAAAAAAAAAACACTAAGTCCTTGAATCCAAGGAATGCAACAGTAAAAACAGAGATGACCTTAAAAATGGACAGCTTAAACCTCATTAGGCAGGTGTTTGCATTCTCTTTTGAAAGAAGTTTCAACTGTTGAAGCTACACAGAAGAGCATGTATCAGTCTCATGCAGCACTATTTCAGAAACTACTCTAACCTTTCTGCTAACTTAGCAAGGTAGGTGCACAACCTGAATGCCTGTTCATTAGCTTCCTGTTCCTGCCCTGAAAGCCCAGTGTACGAGTTGCCCATTTCTGCCAGTTTGATTATGTATAGCTCAGCAGCAGATGGTTAACTGTGCTTTCCACGTCTGATGCAGTTCAGTTCAGCTCATAAAGCATGCATTTGCCAATCTTGCCTTTGAAGGGTCAGCTCACCGTGGTTGCTCAAGAACCACTGCATTCCTGCCTCTACAGTCACACCCTACACTCACATCTTCCAACCAAACGTCTCCCAAGCACTCCCTGAACCTCCATCTCTTTGTGCTACTTCATATTACGCCATATGCTGTCAGCTATTCCCACTCAGATACTTCCAAATTCTTCACTCGAGAGCTGTTCCTATCAATAGTTCATGCTCTCTCACCGCTCTTTTAGGGTACGGATTCCTTCAGATTGGAGCAGCACCTCATTTGCCACGTGTTTAATGTAATGTTGAAGAAATTACTGTGATCCACCACAAGGAAGCTTTTACAGAATCTTCAGAAAAGCTGCTGCACCTTATACTACTTTCCAAGTACTCTCTACCCACGCTACGCATCCAGGTGCCATAAAAACTTGTTCCGACTTGCTTAAAAACTACACTACAGAGTCGCTCAGTTACAGCTTGAGTTTCAGCCTTCTGTACTCTGCTTTGTAGGCGAGACAAACCAGCGCTATCTGACATACTTTCTGAAGTGTCAGAAGCAGAAGGAAAGGGTAGCAGGTGCCTTCGCTGAGCTGCCTCCAAAACACAAGCACGCCCTTTCTCTCTATAGGAAGTTTGGAGGCTGTGGATTCTGAGGTGAGGTGGGCACTTTATAGCTTTGAGGGGCACACCTGTCTGCAAGTTTTGAGCATATCGATCAACTTAGATCTTCATCTGAAAGACCTTACTCTGATATAAGTGTGGGTGTTCCTCTTCACAGTCAGTGTACCTAAAGCAAGCTACTGGCAGTCACCTTATCTTTTAAGACAGGTCAAAAAAATGGTTAAAGCAACTGTAATGGATTTTGCTAGCAGGCAGCGATCTCCTTTGATAGGTTCTGCTATTATATCCAACTGTCTTGGCCCAGAAACGGTTCTCTAAACCCAAAATTTAGAGGTCTTTTGTTTACTACCTCTACAGAGGAAAAAAGCCAGGAATTCAGCTGCATCTTAGAGTATGCATATGCAAAAGCTACTTCCACAGCAGAACAAGAATATGCTTTTATTAGTAGGCAGTTCTGTCTGAATCAGACTTCCCTCTGCCCCGCCCCCTGAGCAGATTACTCAGCCCTATCACTGTTTGTTCACAATACGATGCTTTCTCCTTCTAAAATAGGCATCAGCTTTAAAACAAGTTTGATAAGCACAGAAATATTTTCAGTTCCCGATCTGAAAGTGTTTGGCTGTTGTCATACACAGTAGCATTGCTCAAACACTCATCAAGGACAGCAAGAGTAGTTGCTTACAAATCTAGCAATACCATCTGTTTTCAGCACCTGTGAATATTCCAATAGGCAGACACTGTACTTCATCCAGGTCTCCTAGAAGCGGTTATGAATTAAGCCATTAGCTCTGAGGTCATACAGACCATACAGCATTAATACAAACTGTTCACTGAAGGTCACAAAACAAAGTTAACTCTTGCCCCTGTGTGAAAGATAAGAAAGAGGGAGGCTAAAGGTCAGGTTGGAGGGGGCTCTGAGCAACCCGATCTAGTTGAAGATGTCCCTGCCCACGGCAGCGGGGTTGGACTAGATGACCTTTAGAGGTCCCTTCCAACCCAAACCATTCTACGATTCTATAAACAGACCGAATTTCAGAGACCACATGCAGAAAGAACCTGCAGGACTAGACTTTAAGCCTCCTGGTTTAAGAGATGCTCCATTTTTAATACTCCAAGCTCCTGGAGAACCTAAGCACATGACATACTAGTTTAGGGCCATCTGATTCCTAAAGTCAGGCACAACAACGGGCAGTGAAGTTCCACAGTTCATATTAAGGTAGTTGAAGATTAGCATTCAAGTTTAACCTGTTTAATGGAGGACAGTACTAGTCACTGTTGCAGTGACCAAGACGAGTTGTACAGAAATGCCCTCTAGTATATATTCTTCACATATCTGGATACTGTATCATGACTGTATGTTTGGCATGTAATGGGTAATGGGCATACAAGCCCTCTTTTGAAAACTCACAACGGACTAGAGTCATCCCCCTCTTATCTGGGCCCTGGTGCAGGAAAACAAAACCTTTGAGCTTCCATATGTCGCTGGGACTTAGTGTGGAATTGCCCAGTTAAAGCCTCCCCGGTCCAACAGATCTTATATTCAAATCACCCGCAATACTAGACCTGAAGCACTTCAAGATGAAGGGGATTACTAGCTAGCTAAGCAGGCAACAACAGACCAGCCTTACATGATGTTTGCTGACTCCAGCAGTTATTGTAACAAGCTGGCAAGTGAGACACAGAGATAAGGTTGTACCATAGGGCAACATGAACCCATTTACCTGCCTGAGTACTGGCTTACGTTGGGTAAGGATTATTCAGAGGAGCAAAACTGTTTCCAGACTGGACTAAGTCCCTGCACTGTATTCCAGTAATGTAGGAGTACAGGGCCAACACCCACCTGCATGAACCACTTTAGGTTCAGCTCACCTCGTATCTAGCATTAGCACTAACTCTTGCACACTGTAGCACTTACAAAGCGCGCTCTCCATCTCACTGCCAGATCCAGGTCTGGCCCACCTGCTACGCACCAGCTAACGCTAGCTTTGGTGTGTGCTCTGAAACACCACCACGCATGCCGAAGCGCAGCCGCATCCACAAGCACTGCTTTTTACCTGTAACTCTGGCAGGCTGCCTCTCCGGGTCTGCGCCCTCTCCTTCAGCCCACCAACAGGCCAGGGGCAGCTTTGCCAGCCGGCACCCGTATAAGTCTTGCCTCAGGAATGAGCCGGCAGCGTGCCAGTTACAGGTACCGTTCATTTCCCAGAAGGGTAGGATGAGAAGACTTCAGACAAGCGTTTAACTTACCAGCACCTAACGTTCCAGAAGTGTACAAAGGATGCAAGTTTAGTCTTTTTTAATACTTAGTTAATATTGAAACAAGCTGCTTACTAAACCTAGCATTTCCAGTTGTCTTGAAAGTCAAAAAAAGCAAACCAAACCACACTCTGGCTACTTTATCTACCCCTCCCGTAGCCATAAGCTACAGCCAGAAGACTGCCAACTTCTAGGGAGTTATGC